TTGAATCGAAACCTGTTATGCATATTTGTTTTTGGAAAGTTAGCTTCCTTTATAAATAATATTTGGACTATTTAAAGTTAAGACATTTCTCAATTCGGTGCTTGAATGAAGTCAAATGTTTTGTTATGTTTAAATTATTTCACGCTTCATTTTTACATAATTAGATGGCTCCTGATTGCAAGTGAATTATATTGTGCGGACCCCGTATGGAAAAAAGGCTTACATAACTGACTCTTAAAATAGCATCGTCTACAGAGGGATTTTTTACACACAGCTTAACTTTCTGAGAAGAGTGTTGAAATTCACACTGTTGAACTGTTCTTATGGGGATGTGACCAGGGAGCTGCAGCTAACCTGCTTGCTCACACCACTGAGGCGCTGGGGAGGGCTGGCACAGCTCCAAGGACTGAGCTTTGTTTACCAACCTTGGAGTGTAATTTGAGAAGAGCTGACAGGACAGTCAGTTCTTTCAATAAATAAAATTGAAAGAGTGCCTTCAATAACATTGCTGTTTTGAAAACAAAGTCATTTACACTGTAGGATCTGATTGGGACAAGATCATATTCAACTGTGGTTGCCACCTCCACTCACCCCTCCCCAAACACACACACATACACTGTTTGCCTGCCACCACTCACTGTCCAGACTTGAATATAAAGAGTAGCCACTTACAATAATAATAATCCTTGCATTTGATATAGCGCTTTTCACGTCTTCTAGACGTCTCAAAGCGCTTCACAGAATATGCTGTAAAGTGCATTGACTATATATTTGTGGGCGAAATGGGGCAGCCAATTGCGCACAGCAGTGTCCCACAAACAGTCGTGGATTGAAAATGACCAATTTATTATTATTTTGGAGGGATTATTATTAGGCGTGTGGAGTAAGGAAACTTGGCCAAGGTTTCGTCCTGCCTGGAATTGAACCCAGGATCTCGTTTGCAAGGCGAGTGCTCTAACCACTGAGCTACAGGACTCCACTTATGTGAAGTATCTGAATGAGGAAATACGATTGATATTCTTTGGCATTTAATATTCACCTGAGGCAAACCCTGGACTGTCCAGGGCCTTGGGACATCCTCCTGATGTGAAAAGTGTTGTATAAATATAAATTTGTTCATGTTGTGGATTACATTGAGCAATCCAGTGTGCTATGCAAAGTTGTGTCTGAGCAAAGGTAAAACATCCACCAAAACAACAAACTATCATCAACATGAATCAACACCATCAGTAGAAGGGAAAGGTAGGGGGGTGGGGGCGAAGGAAGTGAAGTAGGCTAAAGCAGCCTACTCTCCAAACTTGAGCAACCACTGTTTAGTTTACACTGACACCGCCCCACACCTTCACTTTTGGCGTGGGTGTACTGGAAATCTCAGTGCAGCACAGCTCCAAAAAGAAAAATATGAACAGCATCAGACTTCAGCCAGCTAGGGCAGAGTCATCTCCTCATATTCATAGAAAGCATGTTCCTTCAAAACGGTTAAAGTAATGGTCACTTCAATTTCGTTCATTTAATTATCTCTGACTTGCTGGTTTGTCCACATATTTCCCTTGTTTAATTTATTTACACGTCAGAGAGTGACAGAATATGTCAGCACAGAAATGGGCCATTCAAGCCAACAAGTCTATGCTTGTGTTGTTCTGTACATGAGCCAGCTACTCTGGCTCGCAATTGGCTGCCGCGTTTCGCCCACAAAACATACTCAATTCACTTTATATTATATTGTGTGAAACACTTTGAGACATCTAGAAGATGTGAAAAGGCGCTATATCAAAAATGCAACGATTATCATTGTTATTCTACAACAACAACAAGATTCCATTTATAAAGCGCCTTTCACGTCAGGAGGACGTCCCAAGGCGCTGCACGGTTGGGTCATGAACCGAGCAGGGGGGAAATGGTCAGGGTGAGGGGAGGGGAGGGAGGGAGCGAGGAGGGGGGAAATGGTCAGGGTGAGGGGAGGGATGGGAGGGAGCGAGAAGGGGGAAGAGAGTTGAGAGGGGAGCTGAAGGCTCGGTCAAAGAGAAAGGTTTTGAGACCGGCCTTGAAGGAGGAAAGGGAGGAGGCGGCGAAGGCACTGTGGGGATGGAGTTCCAGAGCCTCGGGGCTGAGAGGCTGAAGGCCCGACCACCGATGGTAGGGCGATTGGGGCGGGGGACGTGGAGCAGACCGGAGCCAGAGGAACGGAGGGTACGGGCAGGTAGGTAGGGGGATAGTAGGTTGGAGAGGTAGGAGGGAGCGAGGCCGTGAATGGCCTTGTAGGTGAGGATGAGGATCTTGAATTCGATCCTCTGGGGGATGGGGAGCCAGTGGAGGCGAGCGAGGGTGGGAGTGATGTGGTCCTGGTGCGGGACAGTACACGAGCTGCAGAGTTCTGGATGACCTGCAGCTTGTGGAGGGAGGTGGCGGGAAGGCCGGCGAGGAGAGAGTTCCCATAGTCCAGCCTTGAGGTGACAAAGGCGTGGACCAGGGTTTCAGCAACGTGAGGGGTGAGGTAGTGCCGTAGTCTGGCGATGTTCCGGAGGTGATGGAAGGCGGTGCCAGTTGTGGTGCGGATGTGAGGGAGAAAGGACAGCTCAGGGTCGAACAAAACGCCGAGGTTCCTGACTGGCTTTGAGAGGTGGAGAGTGCAGCCTTGGATGCTGATGGTGTCAGCGCCTGAGGTGCGGAGGCGCTGACGTGAGCCAATCAGGAGGGCCTCGGTTTTTCGCACGTTGAGCTGAAGAAAGTTGTCTCTCGTCCAGGACTCGATGTCGGACAGGCAGGCTGTCAGGACATCGGTGGTCGTGGAGTTGAGAGTAGAGGAGGAAAGGTAGAGTTGGGTGTCATCCGCATACATGTGGAAGTTAACTCCATGTCTGCGGATGATGTCACCAAGGGGGAGCATCTTAATCATCTACTTGCTCCCTTTACCCTTTAATACAGTATTCCCTTTTTCCAATATCTAATTCCCTTTCAAAATAAATTAGAATCTTATAAACTTAAAAAAGCTTTTTATACACTATACAGTATTTCGACTACACTTTGGGTCACTTTCTCGTTTGGGTTTTGAGTCAGCTGTTTGAGGCGCTTTGAGATATCTTCCTGATTTCCTGATATGAAAGGAGCTGTGTAAATATAAATATTTGCTGGATTTAACATTCTGAAGACGTTACAAAGTTAATTTATCTTTTTAGGGTAAATGTGGCTTTGTGACAAGGGAACTTGCAACATTTTTTGTTTGGTTTTTGGCAGGTTTTACGACAGCCTCAATTCTTTTCTCAGAATTGTTTGTGCCCAGAAAAGAGAAAAGGGATATTGTTCCCAATTACAAATGCATTCAGGTGGTAGATTAAACATGGTAGGGGGTGTCAGATATTCACTAGTTCCCACATCTAGATTAAATAGTTTAAATTACAAAATTGCATTTCTACAGAAAGGTGAGGATATCAATCACAAAGGTAGGAATGTGTTTCAAAATTCATACCGTTGTTCTGGCCAAGGATTATAAATGGTCCAGCAAGTATTAGAATAATAGGCATAGAATTATCAGGTATGAATTTATGTGGGAGAGGTTTTAATCTGTTGAATTGACTTCAAAAATATTCTGTGTACCCTTTTTTTAAAAAAAGAAAGCAGCAAAGATTATATACTGGAATAAATAGGTCATTTGAAGTGATTCCATAATCTGTTTTCTTCACTTGCTCTCTTTAACCAATTTGCTCCTGGTGCATTTTCAACTGGGATAGCAGGGCATGTTCCATCCATGGATTTTCCTATAATTGTGGTGTGCTATTGCAAGACTGCAAATGGGCTTTCATAGCAATTTCAGGATTATAGCCTTCAGGCTGTTAGTGATAGATTAAGGGGTGCTGTGAGAGAATGCTTGATTTCCTTTCTCTTTCTTTGTGGTAGAGTAATGTGACCTTTACGTGACCAAAATATCTTTGCACAATTGTTTTTTTAAACTACTCAATGCAGAATGGGTGGATAGGTGGCAAATTAAATTTAATAAAGAGAATTGTGAAGCGATTCACTTTTGTAGGAAGAATAAAGCGGCTGACTATACCCTTGTTGATAGAGGAACAAAAGGATCTAGGAATTCAGGTTCACAATAGCAGCACAGATGAACAAGGCCATAAAGAATGCAAATAGAGTCTTTTACTTGATGTCCACACCCAGGCTAAACTACAACAACTTTTTGCTTACTGAAGTTCCTAACCATCTAGAATTTATTACCACCTGTCCTTCCGGGGTGCAATAATCCCTTCAAAAATATATATATTTGGTCACTCGATCCACGGTTATTTGTGAGGCACTGCTGTGCGAAATTGGCAGCCGCATTTCACCCACAGAATATACTGTCAGTTAACTTTACAGTGTATTCTGTGAAGCAATTTGAGACATCTCGAAGACATGATAAGACGCTATATCAAATGAAAGGATTATTATTATTGTTGTAGCATTGGTGAGAGTACAGCGTAGATTTACATGGATGTCTATCAATAAAAATTGCACAGGTTGGAGCTTTTCTCTCTAGAGCTGAGATGATCAAGAAGAGACCTGATTGAGGTGTTTATAATTATGAAAGGATTTGATAAGGTGGAAGTCGATAGGTTATTTCCACTTGTTGCTGCTTCTAAAACGAGGTGCAGAAGTAAATACAAGTTGTTGTATAAACTCCAGAACAGGTTAGGTTAGGCCAGATGGCCTGTTGCCATGCCTCACCATTCTATGCAATTTTAAATTTTAAAATTAGTTTAAAAACATCCAAAATGGGTTGAGAAGCATAGCTCTGAGACTAGAATCTTATCAAGTTAATGACTACTTTATAATATCAAATGAGCATATCTTTGTCTCCATCTCCCCTACACATATTGACCATATTTTGGGATGGAGTCAAAGTGATCCTGACCCAGAGGGAGTAAGGGTGCCAAAATGATCTTGAGGTATGAAGTCTTTTACATCATAGATTTATATTGTGATAGATTGTTACGCTAACACAAATGTCTTGGATTTAGATTCTACAGAAGATTTGGTCAATTTCACATCGTCGCCATCTGAAGAAAATTTACAATCCATTTCTGATACGCAAAAGACTTCTGAAGAAACCAATACAGCAGATGTTCTGGTGAATCCCAATCGTCCCAAGATTCACAGTAGACGATTCAGAGAGTAAGTACTGCAAGTGATAATTTCTTCAATTTCTTCTAAAAGAGTGATTAATAAAACATTGCTGCCGTGTATTAGAACGACTTATCAAACTCTTATCAAAGTCTATCTCAGCCTACCAATAAATAGTGGGAGAGAATTCAAATATGTTTCAGGTCTTAGAAGGTTCCAAACTTTGGATCCTTTCCTCTCTAGGTCTCTCTCAGACTTCTCCCTTCCCTGTTCTCAAAGCCTACTCAACCGTACCTCTTTCTACGTGCTTTTGGTCATCCTTCCTCTTCACAACCTCTTCAGCTCCTACCCACCAGCTCAGGTGCTCAGCCAACCAGCAGTGTAAAGCACTTTGAGACATCCTCTCAATGTGAAAGTTATTACATAAATTAAATTGTATGAATTTGCCAGGGAAAATTTCTAGATTATCATTGACTTCAAATGACCATTAGACCATTGATAATCAAAAATACAGACCCTCCTGTGGGCAAGCACATGTCTCTACTTCTTATCTCCAAATACCTTTATTCTGTACCTCCATTCCAGTTTCCCAGCAAAAGTGAATGCATATTTTTTTTTAAAAATGGAAACGTGTCAATTGAAGAAGTAACTTACTTTTGTTTCTAATTATTTATGTTTATAACAGCAGGACCAGAAGAAACCTTTGCAGGAAACAGTAAGGTGCAATAAAAGCATTGCTTTAAAGCGTGTGCTTTAACCCAGTGCTATTAAATATGTCATTGACAGGAGCGAGAGATGGGACATTTTACTCACAGTGCTTTGAAATCCCCACACAAACATTCCAGATCTTAGCAAGACACTGGTTTCTGGGCCAAGTGGAAACAAAGTACTTGTAAGAGGGAGAGAAATTGAGCAATAGTCATAGCGCTATATCAAATGCAAGGATTATTATAATATAAATATAATAATCCTTGCATTCGATATAGCGCCTTTCACGTCTTCTAAGCATCTCAAAGCGCTTCACAGAATATACTGTAAAGTGAATTGACTGTATATTTGTGGGTGAAACGCAGCAGCCAATTGTGCACAGCAGTGTCTCACAAGCAGTCGTGGAATGAGTGACCAAATTAGTCATGTGGCGTAAGGAAACCTGCCCACGGTTTCGCTCTGCCGAGAATCGAACTCAGGTCTCTCACAGTGGTTAGAGCGAGTGCTCTAACCACTGAATTACAGGACTCATGTTTTCACATTGCACGTAGGTAAAATGTATACTTTCCCATGGAATGTAGATAAAGTGGTCTACCCATTACTCATTCACGATGTATAAGCTATCCAGTTGACTAAGCCTCTGTATGCCACTCTTTTGCAGGAGGAGGTGGGTTGTGCAGATGGAGTAATGTGTGCAGAGCTCAGATTTCCTTCTCACTTAGGTTAGCTCAGTGGTGGTTGACCAACAAAATAAGTTTTCTTGATTGAATATTTCTTGATTTATGCCATAAATATTCAATCAAGAAGGAATCAATTCAATATTCAAGAAATATTCATCAAAAAGGAAGTGAAAACACACTACCGATCAAAAACGGACTGACCTAGACTCGTGCGAATGTTGGGGTGGGGCGGCTTCTTGCCTGCCCCATGGGCTACTTCCAGCCCACGGGCCACAGGTTGGCCACCACTGGGTTAGCTTGTTTCTGCTACTGAGTCACTTGAATGAAGCCAAATTCTACACAACTAGCCTCCATTACAATGTACAAGCTGAAGAAGTAAATCTGTATCAGTGATCTTCCTTGTGGTTTGTTCAGTGTTCTTTTAAATTATTTCAAGTTAACCATTTGTGTTTATATACTTAATATGGGACCATCTAGGCCCTGCAGTAGTTGTTATTTTGTGCTCTACCCATGATAGTATGATGATAAACCTATGTATTGCGTTTTATATACTGTGAACTGCTTGGGGAAGTTTTGAGCATTCTTAACTGCAGTACCTTGACGTTTACTTTAATGCAGTCTGTGAGGAACTAAACTGCAAGAGATTCAACATTTGCATTTACAAAAAAACCTTAACAGTTCTTTACAGGAAGAGGTGGTTTCATCTCCGAGCATGAAGTATTCTAACCACATCTCAAGGCTGAGGCATTCTGTTTTTAATGAGAATAAAGGAAACATTTATATGTTACTTTATTATAATGTAATAATAATCCTTGCATTTGATATAGCGCAGGGAATTGAACTCGGGTCTTCTCGCTTGCAAGGCGGGTGCTCCAACCACTAACCTACTCCATTTTATTAGGACTCCCATTTTATGAGTTTTTGATCAACGATATTTCTTTTTTTTGTTGTTGGTGCTTAGAGGAGGTTATTTTATTTCATTCAAGACCAGTTAATATTGTGTTTTTTAAAAGCTTATCTAGATTTGACTTGCATTTTGCAGTAATAGAAGAATTGTTTAATTGATGTGTTTACATATGACCTCTTGTTAAAAAAATTGTGTTTTGGTGCATCCATGATGTGTAAGATTAGGTAAATCTTCACTTGGACACAGAATGATGATGCAGCAAAGACGTTCAGAGCTGATCACACTATTCCAGATAGAGATAATGGGAGTCCTGTCAGCCTTGGAAACCAATTGACTAACTGATTGGAGTTTTTTTTTAAAAAGCAAGTTTTAATACATTGCAAAACTACAGATTGGTGATGTGTGATGACATCAAGGTTTCTGATTGTGAACTACAATAACAAATGACAGCTATGTGTAACAGCCCATATAAAGTCAGTAATCGTGTCATTTCTGGGTTCAATGGACCCTAAAACTATTCCAGCAGCATGCTTCTGTGCAGTAAACATTCTGTTATTCAGTGATCTGATAAGATGTTCTTCCTGCTGTGAGACAGAAGGCAAACAAAAACTACCCAAAATGGCAAACCAAAAACCTCATGACAGAAATTACTAGCAGATGGTAACGTCTATAAAATCATAACTAAATTTGGGGCTACAAAAAAAAGTGTTCGCTCTGTGTTCGCACTGTGCTGGTATTCACTACCCTATTAGACCTATCTGCTCCAATTATTATTATGCTCTTTTCCTACAACCTTCTTTTAAATGCTTTTATGGAGTCAGATTCAACAACTATTTGTCTTTGTAACAACACTATAAAAATATTTGTTTCTTCTAGTCATTATACTTAAATTACGACCCTCTATTATTGACTCACTAATCATTTTGCTAATCATACTGGGAGATCTTTACAGTGTATTCTGTGAAGTGCTTTGAGATGTCTAGAAGAGGTGAAAAAGCTCTATATCAAATGCAAGGATGATTATTATCAACAAATCGAAGACTGGTTGCTTTTTGATGACATTAGTTGTGTTAACACGTAATAGATTGTCGTCATTTATCATATTTATCATTTATCAGTGTCTTCAAAAGAGAAGGGAGAAAACAAGCAAATTGCAAACTAAGGGAGAGTAACCTTCATAGGTATCCGAATTTATGGGCAGTGCTTTAAAATATTATTACAACAACAACTTGGATTTATATAGCGCCCTCCACGCCGTATGGCGTCTCAGAGCGCTTTACAGTTTCGGATCCCGGGACCGAGTGAGGGGGAGGGGAGATCCATGTAAACGCTTGAAAACAGAAAAACCCATATAATACGGTCAGTTGAGTCCATTGTCTCATTATAAACCGCATTATAAGCGAGGAGCGAAATTGTCCGACTCACTATAACAATAACGTATTTTTATACAGTGCACATCACATACATTTTGGCGCACTTGCCACATCTACAAGAGCATTGCTATATTTGTCATCAGTGGCATCTCAAACTTAAACCAAACCACATCTGAAACTACCCACTGGCTCACTGACATGGATTTGGTTATTTGAATGCAACTAATCACCTCTCTTGCCATACGAAAGAAGAAAATTAACTCGCTGATCAGTTCAAGTTGTCTCATTCTCTCTGTTTCCCAGCTATCCTTCCTCCCCCCGCATCCGGTCCCTGACCAGCACCGCTTTCTTCTACCTCCACTACACTGCCCGTCTCCGCCAATACCTCACCCCAAAAGCTGCCGAAACCCTTGTCCACGCCTTTGTCACCTCTCGGCTGCGCTACTCTAACACCCTCCTCACCGGTCTCCCCTCCTCCACTATTCACAAAATTCACAAAACTCTGCCGCCCGCATTCTCACCCGCACCAAACTTCATACCCCAATTACTCCAGTCCTTGCCAACTCCACTGGCTCCCTGTCACAGAGTGGATCGACTTCAAGATCCTCACTCTGGTGTTTAAATCCCTCCATTCCTTGGCACTCCCCTATCTCTCTAACCTCCTGTCTCCCCACAGCAGTACCCGCTGCCTCCGCTCTACTGTCTGGCCTCCTCCGTGTCCCCCGAACCCTCCGCTTCACCATCGGTGGTCATGGCTTCAGCCACTATGCCCCGAAACTTTGTCACCCCCTCCCTCAACCTCTTAGCCTCACTCCCTCCTTCCCCATCTTCAGGTCGTACCTGAAGACCTTCCTCTTCGACTGCACCTACTGTCACCTTCCCCCTCCTCCTGGCTCGGGTTCCACCATTGTTAAGCACTCTTAAGACGCCGCCCCGTGTGGAGGGCACTATATAAATGCAAGTTGTTGTTTCTTTGCATTTATTCAACACTATTTGGTTTTAAACACACCTCTGTAAAAAAAAAAGTTCTTTCATTTTTTGTTTCTGGTGCTAATCTTCAATTTATGCCTTTTTCTTGCTGACTCACCCTGCAATGGAAGTAGTTTCTATCAAAGCTATTCATAATTTTGATAATTAACCTTTGAAAGTCTCTTAATAATACATGTATTATCCCTGGTACCATCCTAGTGAATCTCGACAACATGAAAGTTGTGGATCAAATGCAAGGATTATTTATTATAGTATTATTTTTCTTTTCAGATATTGCAGCCAGGTTCTTAGTAAAGATGTTGATAGCTGTGTAACAGACCTTCTGAAAGAACTTGTCCGTTTTCAAGATCGCTTGTACCAAAAAGATCCAATCAAAGCTAAGAAAAAACGTAGGATTGTTATGGGACTGAGAGAAGTTTTGAAACACCTGAAGCTGAAGAGGCTAAAATGCATCATCATCTCGCCCAACTGTGAAAAAATACAGTCCAGAGGTAGGAAATACATGTTTACTGAGTAGTCAACTACGCGATGGAGAGAGAGCAAGAATCAGCAGAGATATCATTTGAAAGTGCATGTTATGTGAGCACTTAGAATTACATTTCACAGAAGCTGCAGAAAAAAACAAAAATCTAGATTGGCCTAATTATTTGGGTTCAAACATGCATGGAAGAAGGTGCAGAAATGAAAATCATATATGTATTATTGTGACCTTACATGTCAGAAGTATTAAGCTACTCAGGTGTCCATGTTATTACTATCAATGTATTTAAGCATTGTGTAAGGTTATTAAATTAAACTGCTGGCCCTGGGACACTGACATTTCTCTGGATGTGCCAGCAGTTGAAGCTTTTGGTGCATGGTTTGAATTTTAGGATGAGGAATATTGGTTCTGCACAGGACAGTAATTTGTGAACTATGTGAAAATGTTTCAACAAATCAGAAATTCAGTTGGACTTCAGATAATGTGAATTGTAGGCGCACTAGTAAATTGTGTCTGAGATTGCTAGCTATATATAATTACTTTCTGTTTTTACCAGGTGGCTTGGATGATGCACTGCATAATATCATCAGCATTGCTTGTGAACAAGAGATTCCATTTGTATTTGCTCTCAATCGCAAAGCTCTGGGCCAATGTGTGAATAAACCAGTTCCTGTTAGTGTGCTTGGAATCTTCAGTTACGATGGGGCTGAGGTTAGTTACAACCAGGAAGAATGATGCATTTACAGTTGAACCCCCTCCAGAAAGGTCTGAGTGAATGTAGTTTATTGTGTCAATATAAACGTTTTGTGAGACATCATTGAATTGAATTCTATAGATATTGTCAGCACCCACACTGTGTGTAGTAGTACGGTGTCAGATCTAATTACATTAATTGGTAATCCTAGGAAATTGTTAACAATGAAAGTATTTGTTGGCTCATAAGCAATCTGAATTAATAGGAAGACTGGTATTTGATCACTCAGCTCTTCAGTAATTTGATAGATGAGCAGCTTTTAAGCATTATACTCTGTGATGCTTACATGTCCATTTCAACTGCTTGGATTGGTACTGAGGTGATATCAGAGGATATAAGGATTGAAGAAGCAAAACTTTCTTTTGACACAGTGCACAGTTTGCGATTTATAGTATTGTGGACAATTGATTCATGGACAAGGATGGAGAAAAAAACAAATACAAGTAAAAGTACCTGATTAGTTCTTGAGGCGTGCAACATTTTCTCTCACTGTACTTTAATTAAATATTAAGTGCAAATATTCCAGTAAAGATCTTATTGACTCTAGCCATACCAATTGTTCAGGTTATGGGACTTTAGACACATGCCACAGGAATTAAAATGTGTGTAAAATATGCCAGTTTATGATATGAATTGGCCACCACTGACTCAGAAGCTAAAAAGACGTTGAGAACCTCTTTTGTTGATGATAATGAATGTGTTCTGTCATGACACTGGCTTACAATTGTTCAATGTGAAATTGCACCTTTCATTCACAGAACCAGTTTCATCAAATGGTGGAGATCACTGAAGAAGCCAGAAAAGCCTATCAGGAAATGCTGGACGCTCTGCAACAGGAACTTGAGGCAGATGAAGAAAAGGGAGATTCAGAGGAACAGCCATTAATTTCATCTGAGAGCAGCACTATTCATTTCAACAACGTGACCTCTCAACCTTTCTCTGAAGCTGATGAACCTGAATATGGTACATAATCCAGTATTGTACAACAGTAGAGATCAGTTGGAGGAACATCCCTCCCAAGTGTATATGGTGTAATTCAGGATGCTCTGCTGTGAGATGATACATGGAGTACTGCACTATATACATGGAGGCACGTGCTTCGGATAGGATTCATAATCATACTACAGAAAGGAAACTATAGTACTGTTCTAACCTGGTCGCCTGAGTCCAATCTCTCAGGCCCTGAGTTGCAACAAGGTGGCCGATATCTGGGTAATCAGGCTGCCACTGACATTGCTTTCTGCACATAGAATGCAGGAAATGACAGCGCCACTTCCTGTGCACATACTTTGGCATACAGGAAGTCATGGCAGCAGTGGGAATGAACCAGTTCATGTACTGAATCCAATGCAAGGCACACGCCTTAGCAATGAACCATAGTTGTAACAAGCTGCATTTTGGCAGGGTTCTACTATATTAAGAGGCAGTAGGATGAATGTGTCATTAAGTGTAGTTTTATAAATATTCAAGCTATTGGTTCATGAAAAGCTCTCTCTCCTGAGTACTTGGTTGTTGGCTATCAGCTTATCCAAGGATTGCGTTGGAGCAGAGGGTTGGTGACATAGTTCCAATTTCCAGAAAGATTCCCCATTTGCACAACTCAAATTCCTTAGTAAGGAATCTGTTAGGAAATGCCACAATTTAGACCATACTAGCAAAACAGACATCTGCAGCACAACACACAGACACTTGTACTAATCACTGGACAAGTCAACTGGGCCATCGCAAGCAATTTAGCAAGATTCGCTCCGTACTACAATACAATGTGTACTGTGTACCATGGGAACAGTGTTTGATAATGTGCTGTAACTGAAGAATGATTCCATTTAAAAAAGAACAATCCAAGTATGGTTTGCTTCATTTTATTCAAGACTAGCCTTTCTACTTAAAATTAATTGAATTTGCAACACGTTCAGTTTCAGATAAGGAAAACAAGTTTTTGGATAAATTTAGCACTTTTAGTTTTCTTCAGAAAAACAGTAATCTTTTACTGTTTTTGAAATGCTTCCTACATTAAGTGACCATTAGATAATATTCGATAAGTAAAGCTTATCAAAAGAGAAGGGGGTTGGGGGGAACTCCAGTAGAACAGAACAGATTATAGATGATCAATTTGGTTTACGATTTGAGATTTGACGTGTGTTTCAAAAAGATAATGGTGTCTTGATGCAAAATAACTCTTCCTTCTTCCAGTCACTACATGGAGAAACCTGCTCAAGAATCAGTGTGATCCAAGTCTTTGAGCTGCTGAGAACAAACACCTTCATAGCCTCTCTACCATGGCTCTGAAGAGGACGCTAGTAACTCTTTACAGTTTTTCAGGAAATATCAAAGTTTTGAATGTAGTTTCTAGTCACACTGGAACATGTCATATGGCTGTCACCTATCCAAAGCAGAATTTGGGTAATTTGTGCAGTGAATAGTAATTAAAATTTATCCTTAACAAAAACTCCATCCAGGTTATTGTCTGAGTGAAAGTAAACTTAATTTAGCTGCACCTCATTTTGACAAAATTCTGATTTATTGGCTTTAAGGTCTGTTTAATTAAGCAGTAGTGAAAGTATGTGCAAGGAGTGAGGATTGGCTGGACACAAAGCTTGAGAATGGTGGGTGACTGAAAATTGATTCAGTGTCCCCAAGACCATAGTCTGGCATTTCCTGTGTATTTGTTTCCCCTGTTTTCTGGAATCCCTTGATCACTTTACTATATGTCCTGCCCCAGCATGATGGTTTCTTCAGGTGAAATCCCTGCCTGTACATTGCTATCAGGTGAGAAATTCCAAGCGTATTCATTTTAATGCCACTTTTGCTCAAGTCTAAATTAAATAATCAATTTACATCAATGTCATCCTTTCCACTCAGAATTTGGTTCAGCATTCTCTTGTAAGAACAAGTTAAATTGCAGAAATCTGCCTCCATAACTGAGCGGGTTAAGTACTGGAATCATCATTGTTGCTTTTTCCTGAACCTTTCTGAAGCTTTAATTTCTTTTTTGAAGGTTGAGTGCCCAAAATATTCCAAATGCAGCTATTCCGGTAACCTATATGAAATTATAACTTATTTGTCAAATATCCTTGAAATATTTCCTAGTACTGTACATGTTCTGGCAGCCTCACATTGACTGGATACTTCTAGTGAAAGATCAATGAATGCTCCCAAGTCCTTTTTCTACTTTGCTGATGGACATCCCTTCAAGTACACATTTTATATTTTCTTTTCAGTGGTCATTGAAATCCTGATCTTGATTAATTTCATTGTATTATACCAAATTTCTCACATTAACCTCTTGTTATTGGCACATTTTATTCTCAAAAGTGCCTTCTTCCAAATAATTTGTCCTGTAAAAAAAACTAATAACCAATCAGTTCCTGCAGGACTATTACTTACTCATTACCCTCAAAACAATATTTTTCCTGTTTTTCATTTCCTTTCTATTGTTAAACTAGTTTTCAATTCAACCGGCTAATGAGCCACTTGAATGCCACTTGAAAATCCTGCGTAAATTATATTAATGGGTTACACTCGACTTGTGATCTGTAAAGCCAGGTTAGGTTTGCATTCCAAACATTCTACTTTGGTGGTTTTCCCTCAGTCCTCTGTTGGTAGCATTCTCAGGGTGTGGGTTCATGCCCCACATGAGGACTTTGAGCTCACAGTCAAGGCTGACTGGGTAGCAGTGCTGGGTAGCCCTGTGTTGTCAGAGGTGCCATGACAATATTTGAAAAGAGAAGGGAGTTTCTTCCGATGTCTTGACTAACATTCCCCCAGATAAAATTGGTCATTCACTTTGTGGCTGTCTGTAAAGCATTGCTGTGTATAAATTGGCTGCTGTGTTCACATTCAAATACACAGTCACTTCAATAAATCCTGTGAAGTGCTTTTAGCCCTTTCAGTGACATGATATGACGCTATATTAAATGCAATGATTATTATTATAAATCCCAAATGATCAAATTCCATGTTTTTATATCATTCCAAACTTCTAATTAGGATTTACTACAGCCGCAGCTTAAACCAGAGTAAAACTCAACCAATGCCTGTCTTACTAAGCATTAAGTGAAAGCGGAGAGATGTAAAACCTCTGTAGTATTTTGCTAAGCAATAAACCATTTGGTTGCATTTGTCATCCATCAGAACCAAACAACAGCATTTACAAAGTCAATATCAGCATGAGAGGCAGATAACGATTTATTTGATGGAAGGTGTTCTCTGAATGTATCAGTGAATAACCTAATTGTGTCACGTTCAATTTGCTGACTACAATTTTGAATTTGGGAAACAGTGGTGGGGATGGGGTGACTTTTAAATGGTAGTGAAGATATTTAAATTTGGTAATAAATGGGGTTTGCTATACTTCGTCTCAGCATTGGTTGCTACCCACTTTGTAAATTATTTTGAAATATCTTTAGTTAACAATACATTAAGTGGCTTCTGCAACTGCTGTCCATTATATAACACCTTATACCAGAGTGCACAATATAAAATAAAAGTTATATTGCTTTTCTCTACATTAAATAGGAAGTCCAATTATCCACACTAATTGAGACCAGGCTTGTTGTGGAAAGGGGTATATTGCAGAACATTGGGCATCACAAAAAAAAGCAGGTTGGTTACAGTGCTAACTAAAAAAAATTAATTCAGTTGTACTCTATAATACATTATCTATCTCTTACTCTATAGTTTTCTTTCTCTCATTCCTCCTTTTTCTTTCTGTCTAAATCTCTTGTCTGTCTGCCCCTGAGTATTATGCTCTCCATGACATTATCTTTTTCGCTATGATATTATTTGTTTATCTCTTTCTTTGACTAACTTTCCAGTATATAAGTAAATATTAAATATCTTTAATCAAAAAAATTGTGCACATTCTAATTAGCAAGATTATCAGGCCCGCGATTTACCTATACTACTTGACTGAAGTGCGTCCTTTACTAACCAGAAATGATTATTTTTACTGGTATCAAACACCCATAAGTGGATGTGCAAAGAGTTGGGATGAAGTTAACCAGCATTCTACTGTATAATTCCTACATAGTATGATTACGTCATACCATTTCGAACAGGTAATCATTAAGACTTTAAATGGCAGGTTTTAATTGAAATTTGCTAGGGAAGACTATTTCCCTCTGAAGTTTGATGAAAGGATATGTAGCTGTTAGCTGTGTCATGCAATAATTGTCTCCATGAGTCAACCTCGCCAGAGAAGTCTTCAGTGACAATGTCACAGTTGAAGTTACATATCACATGACTGACCACAACATATTCTATTTATAACGTGTAGTTTTTGAACTGGGAAGGGAATGTAACAGAAAATGTCATAGTTTTGTGACATCCATAATCAGTGGAGATGTATCTTGCTCTTCTGATGGATTCCAACACAATTCAATTCAGTGTTTCATATATTTGAGAGGACTGTTATTAGATATATCACCAAAGGTATTATAGTGATAACAGGAATGGCTATTTTAAAGTCAATCTGGGTGATGTGCATGATAACTATTTTTAAGATTGTAAAAACATTTTTTCACAAACGACTGCTTTTTTAAACAAAGCAAAGCCTGTGAAATAATGTCAAGTGTATCATATAATCCAACGAAACCTACATACTGAATTTGTTCTTTTATTAGCAAAGACAAGCGTATAAACACCTCTGTTTTGATTCCATTCCTTTCCCAAAGTTGCAAGCAATGTGTTTACAGCCATTATTATGAGGTGCATGGGAACTGTTGAAAACAACTTGATTGCTTTTTTACACTCACTACTTTCTTATAGGAGAGTACCTATAAGACTGTATGTCACTCATTCCTGGTAACAAATCTAATTGGTGACTCGGTAAACTAGACAAGAAACACGTGATCTTTCATTCTGTGGCACAGCAAATTGTAACAAAGCAATGGGGTTGCAGTTAGGTTTTGATTTTTTTAAAAAAAATGATTTTCTGAATCAGATTTGATGCTGATGTGCATTTGATTTTTGTGACTGCAAGCCCAAGTTCTATTTCGACCAGTGAAATTAGTAACATGTTTATGGTTATTGTCTTGCTAATTGTTGTGTTGGGATATAGATAGTGAACAACAATAGACTTTACAATGTGCATTCATACAGTACATTTAATTTTGTGGTTCACTTTGTAATAGAAATCGCATAAAACATATGCTCCATATTCTATATTTGCAGTGGTACCAAGGACATTGCTTTAACCTGTCTCCTGTATCCTACCATCAGCTTATTGTGGTGATGTAGTACTAATCATTACCCCTTAATGTTTTAGCACACTTAAAATCTGTGCTGTAGTTCAATATATTACTCTGTCTGCAATGGCTTGTCAGATGGGTAACTTTAATGGGTATGATACTGGGATGCAAAACCCTCTCATTCATACTATGGAGGATTTGAGAAGCTGGCAGACACAGGATAAGTGCTACCACTTGCTTTATTGCTCCCACTTTCCTGAGTTGGCTCATCCTTATAGTAGTTTATTCTCCTCAAGCTTGAGGAGGATTGGCTAAAGTATTGCAATGACTTCGGTTTTGCAGCCTTGTTGCTCATCGCTCTAATTGGTTTAAAAACCTAAATGGACAAAAGTACATTTGAGGTGATTCTGAGTTTGGGTGCAGGCATATTTTAAATCAATTTTTCTTTTAATTTTGTCGGAGAAAAATCCTAAAGATTTCTATTAGGATTATTTTGTTTACTCGATAAAAGTGCTTAGTTTAAAAAATTAAAAAATAAAATCAAAAATTGAATATAAGATTAAAATACTTACACTGGACACACTGCTGCCCCTCAAATTGAAAAAGCTACTGGAAGATCAATCAAGACTCACTCTGCTTTTATATTGTGTGTATCTCAGCTTAATCTCCCATTGTCAGGACAGTAAATGTTCTGTACATGTTTATTTTTGGTAAAACTTTTGATCTGACTAAATGCTACGTAAAAATATTGCACGTGATTAAAAGAAAATTCTAATTTTTCAAGAGTAGAATATATTCTGAATTGTAGGACTTGCCTTTTTTATAAAAAGGAGAAGAAATACATGGTGAAAGTTTTTAAAGGTTTGTTTGAAAACCTAACTTTGTTCCTTTAATACTTTATGAAGGTCAGTCCTATGCAAATGAATGTAACATTCTTTGTAAGCTACAGATTTATATTGAGCATAGACACCACTATTAAATGTTACCACTTCAAATCTGCTGTATTTTGAAAAACGATTTAAAAAATCCAGTTTAACACTGGGTAATGTTGGATTTTTTCCTAAAGACTATTAAATCTTACATGGTATGATTCGCCTTGTCCAAGTTACATTTTTTGCAAATGTTTTTTGTAAAAATGAAAGTATCTCAGAAAATAGCTTGTTTAGTTAACATTCATTGTCTTGTTTCAAAGTGTGTGAATGCATGCATTGGCTCAAACAGCTGATCAGTTTATCATTACTGGCATTCCTGTTTCTGACAAGTCATTGTGAAGGGTGGATGGCCTTCTTTTTCACAGGTGAGGGGTGGGGGGGACTGTGGAGATCTTCAGAATAAAATAGAAAGAAATGTAAATAGATAAAAAGTTAGGAATATTAGTGATCAAATTAACTTAAGGCTTTTCTTGTTCTGACATCCTCTGCAACATTAGCTTGATGCACAGATTGCATTTATGGAGTGTCTTTCACGTCGGGAGGACATCCCAAGGCACTGGACAGTCAAGTGTTTGCACCTGAGCTGGAGGTTGGAGTCATAAGTGGGGGCAGGGTTGGGAGAATGACTGAGGAAGGTCAAAGAGGAAGGTCTTGAGACAGGCCTTGAAGGAGGCAAGGGAGGGAGTGCGATGAAGGGAATTTGGGATGGTGTTCCCAAGAATGGGGGCAGAAAGGCTAAATGCCTGACTACCAATGGTGGGGAGGACAGGGCAAAGGACATGGAGCAGGCCAGTGCCCATGGTGTGGAGGAAACAGGTGGATTGGTAAGGTTTTAGCAAGTCACAGACATAGGGAAAGGCAAGACCGTGGAGGGCTTTAAAAATAAGGACAAGGATCTTGAACTCAAGCCTCTGGGGGTTAGGGAGCCAGTAAAGCTGGGGTCGGAGAAATAAGATCATGGAGCCCGGTGTGAAGAGAGGACATGAGCTGCAGAGTTCTGAATAATTTGCACCTTGTGGAGGGAAGTTGGGAAGTCCGGTGAGCAGGGAGTTAGCATAATAACTTAAATCAATGGACTGTTAGAAACATTTAGGCTTTGTGCAGCTGTGACCATTCCAAGTATCCACTGCCGCAAGCAAAGACCGTTTACTAAATCCATAAATTACAGCTCCAGTTCATTTCTATTTAAATTAGTCTCCCTCCAGTGATCAGGTCTGAAGGTATTTTTTGTCAAGCAGTTGTGGTTGTCAAGTTTGACCCAATTCAAATTGACCTTGCTAATGCCCTCAAGTGACTTCAGTTGCAAAGGTCAGGCATTATGGCATATGTTTGTGTGATGGATAGTGGCAATTTAACCTCTGTTCACACATGCCCAACGAGATGTAAATAACTACTGTATTAAAACCAAAACCAAACTGATTTGAATCCGCAGCCCGAGCTATTTTTAAACGCATCCGTTGAGCATAGCAAAGGAGAATTATCAAAAAATTAAATATGTTTGAATCATTAAGTACGATTCTTCCTGAAAAACTGAGTGTGAGAAAGGGATGTTCAAACCTTGAAGCATCTGCATTTTTGTCCAACATGTATGTATCAAAGTTGTGTTTGACTGAAA